CTGGAACCACCACCCGGATCTTTCCGACTGGGACACTTTCGAGCAGCAAATTCGTCAAATATTTGGTGCCCCTACAATTCGCACTGAGGCAACAAAGAAGCAGCTTGCTGAACGCACGCAGCTGCCGGATGAATCTTGCACCTCTTATATTGATGATGTCCTTGCACTATGCAAGCACGTTAACACCGGCATGTCTCAGAATGACCAAATACGCCACATTATTAAACGCATTAACACCATCGCCTCTAACGCCCTTTCCACGCAAAATCCTGCCACCACCCAGGACCTGACAACCATCTGGCAGCGACTTGACGAGCTTCAGTCTCTTCGCCTCTGCTACGATGCCACCGACATTCGTTTGCCTGCACCCCTCGACTTGCGTGCGCTTATTCGCGACATCGTTCATGAAGAGCTTCACTGGTGCTGCTCGTCCTGCGCTGCCGAAGTTACTCTCTCTTCTGAAAAAGATAGCTTGCGAGACCTGATCAAACAAGAGATCGCGTCCGCATCGCGTCCGACGTCTTCCAACGGTCCCTGCGTGCGCCAGACGCGCACGTACGCCGAAGTTGCCGCGCTCTCTGCCGCACCCACTGTTTATGTGCCTACACCCGCAGACCATACGCCTGTGACTTCGTTGTCACCGCTAATGCATGCAGCGCCTTACTACGCACCTCAGCGCCTACCTCGACCAATCTGTTACTACTGCGGCTATCGAGGACATATCGGTCAGTTTTGTCGAAGGCGTCAACAAGACGAGCAACGCGGCTACGCTCCTGAAGAATATCGAAGCTTCCGTCCGACCATGAACTACTTACGACCACCCTCCCGATCTTCCTATTACCGTTCACCATCTCCTGCCTACCCTACTGACATGCCTGAGAATTCCCGTACATCTCGCCGCAGGTCGCCTCACGTCTCAGATATGCTATGGTGCAACATCATACGTCCTTCCTCGAGTCCCCGGTCATCGCTAGTTGTTCTCATTCAAAAGAAAGATGGGAGAGTGCGTTTCTGGGTCGATTACCGTGCGCTAACCAAAATAACGTGCAAGGATGTTTATCCTCCCTCTCGAATCGACAACGCACAGGATTCATTACAGGGCACCAAGTATTTTTCTAGCCTCGACCTCAAGTCAGGCTACTGGCAGATACCAATGTCGGAGTCTGATAAAGAGAAACAGTATGATAGAGTATGATTGCAGGAGTATGATTTCGATGTCACCTACAGATCTGGGAAGAAGTATCAAGATGCTGATGCTCTATCGCGCTGTCCTTTGCCTAGCGGAAGCCACTCACCATCGATACTCCAAAACGACAGCACCCCTCCAATCGCAGCGCTAAGTTCATCACCTGCCACCCTCTCCGTCCTTGTTTCACAATAACGTGTCGACCCATACTGCCGCACCATTGTTGACTGCTTGACCGGCTCTACTACTCCTCCAAACGCCAGACTCCATCGACAACTTAAACAATTTAAGGTTGTCGGTGGTGGTATATACCGCTACATTTACCACATCGATGGCAACAAGTCGGTACCCGTCATCCTACGTTCTCTACAACATGAAGTTCTGGAAGCCTTTCATGATAATTCAACCGCCGCTCATCTAGGCTATCACAAGACTTATGACAAAATACGAAGTCGTCGTTTTTGGCCTGGCCTCTCTTCAGCCATCGCTAAGTACGTCGCCTCCTTTGTCCATTGCCAACAGCGAAAACGACTGACAACGGCTCCGGCTGGCTTAATGCAACCTCTTCCTTGTCCCGCCTCGCCTTTTGAAGTCGTTGGAATCGACTCTTATGGCCCTCTTCCTATATCATCCAATGGGAATCGCTGGATTGTCACGGCTGTCGACCACCTTACCCGCTACGCAGAAACAGTTTCTATACCATCTGGGACTGCCACTGAGGTCACCGATTTTTTTCTTCGCCACATGTTTTTGCGCCATGGAGCTCCACACATTCTCCTGAGTGATCATGGCAAAGTCTTTCTCTCTTCCATTGTTGAGCAAGTTTAGCGTGCCTCGAACACTGTTCACAAGACAACTTCTAGCTACCACCCGCAGACCAACGGATTGACTGAACGGTTTCATTGGACCCTATTGGACAAGATCACCATGTACATTCACCCCAACCACACGAACTGGGATGCAATTCTACCTTTCGTGATATTCGCCTATAATACGGCTGCTCAACGCACTGCCGACTTTTCTCTATCTTTTATCGCCCATGGTTGCTCGCCGAGTTTCGCTATGAATGTCTCTTTCCTTTCGGCCACTGCACCCTCGACGGCTCCTTTCTCTGAAGAATCTTTATCTCGTCTCGCACACTGCCATCACCAGGCCCGTGTTAACACTAAGACACTCGAAAATCTCGCTACGACTCGTGTCGCTGTGTTGTGTGTTTTTCCCCTGGTGACGAAGTTCTTCTACAGACTCTGCTACGCGTCCCAGGGTTATGCGGCAAATTCATCAGTCGCTTCATTGGGCCGTACACGGTGGTTGAACAGACATCTCCACTCAATTACCGCGTTTCTCCTCTTAGCGCTAATCCTGATCATCGTTGCCGAGGAACAGAAATAATGCACGTATCTCGTTTAAAGCCTTATGCGCGACGCATTTCATAATACTGTCAAGCAACCAAGCGGCCGCTTTCACCACGCGGGGAAATTAGTGTGAGTGCGACAAGCGAATGACTCTTCATTGCCTTTAGATATCATCATCACTTGTACATCTTCATCATCTGTAAATATCATCACCAGTGTGATTTAGCTCGAGCCTCGCTGAATAAACCGGTTCCTCACAATATATATTATTTGAATTCGATTCCAAATGATTTGACGAAAGTCACCGTTTGCTTCGAACTCACTTCGAAGCTAAAATTATTTGTTTGCACAAGCCTAGTCATGTAGCATAAAAAATAATGCGTCCCAATGATGATTACTTTATTGTCGGCAAACACTCTGTTTGCCAATACAGTAAAATTTTGTGATTTCGAGCCCGGTTAATTCGAACTAATGCCTCAGTTCTGGCAGAGTCCTGTGTATTCTATGGGGGGAAACTCCTGATAATGTAATCACTCGTTGATAACGACAACGGTCAATTCAAACTAAGAGCTTCTGGTTATCATTGCTTTGCACAGAAGTTGGTCCAGAGAGACAACAATGTGCTGAAAAACCAAACCAACTTCACTACAGATGAAAAGCAATGAAACAGCAGAATTTTCTCAGCAGATGAGAAAACTCGGACACTGTGCTATTGGAGAAGCTGCAAGCAATGTTTATACAGTCTAGGCGCAAGAATCGCAAGCGAATTAAAATTGTTTATTACATTAAATTTTGATTGTGTTAGTTCTGTCATGTAAATAAATATGCTTTCCAGTATGAATAGCGTCATATATTTCGACATACAGGCTCACTTCTCACATGAATGCATGTTGGTGCTTGTTTCTGGCATGCCATTGGCTCATCATTTAACTGTATTCAGTGTTAGAGCTCCAAGAATTCAATTTACGAAATCACGTGCCGCAAATGTGTACACTCAAACTTCGTTATAACGAAGTTGAAGGAAGCCACAATTATTTTGTTATATCCATCATTTAGTTATATCGATTGTAACAGTTTGTGGCCATGTATGCTCAGATAGGCGCACACTTATAAGCATGCAAAGAAGGTAACCGCCTCGCGGCCCGATGCACTGCTATGTGACCATGCGTGCAACGAAAAATAAACAGAGTCGAACCTCATTAATTCGAACATGCCTAATTCGAACTTCCTGTTAATTCGAAATCACGCTGAGGTCCCATCAAAGCATTGTGTATTCCGATGGGCAAAAACGCCCTGTAATTTGAACGCGCAAGCACTTGCGACGGTTAATTCGAACATACTGCTGCGCTCCGGAAATGCTCTCAGCACCATGCCCAATCTCGCGACGGCAGCTCTCAACGCTGCATGCAAAGAAGGAAAAGAAGAAAAGGAAAGAAAAGACTGTGGCGGATTGTTTGGTCTCTCAAATGTCGATCTGCGACGCGCCTGTGCCACGCTTCTCCCTTTTCGTCTCTGCACGTACAGACCCTTCTCCTTTTAAGGCTGCACCTGGAAAGAGAGGAAAAAAGAAAGAAGAAAGAAAGCTGGCGCGGAAAGTCCTCGTTTTTTGGTGCAGAGGGTAGCAGCGGAGACGCAGTCGTTGCCGCCGTCTTTAAGGCGCGGAGAGGGAAATCGCTTTGCACCGCAACGTGGCTTGTCAGTCAGGTGACTCGCTGAGCGCTTCCTCAATCCTCTCCACTGGCTGTGTGAAGGGGATGGCTCTCTCGGCCGCGCGTGGCGTGGCTGTAAGGTCGGCGCGGTAGTTTTGAAACAGCCGCGCCGAACGAGCGTCAAACTTTGGAGAAAATGATATACTTGACACACTACGGTTGGCTTTTTTTATAGACTTTTTGATAGACTAATTTAGTTTGTTATATCCATTTACCATGTCAATTTTACTTCGTTACGTGTTTTAAAATGCATGGTTCTCAATAGAACCTTCAAGGGGAATTTCCTTTACTTTGTTATATCCATTATTTCTATATATCCCATTACATTATAACGAGGTTTGAGTGTAGTACTTTGGGTTCTGCCTGCGCATTATGGTGTATGTCTGTTCATTTTAGTGCCCGCCTTCTAATTCGATTCGAACAGTTTTATAGTGCCCATCGAGTTCGAATTAACAAGCTCTCGCTGTACTGGTGCCCAGCGTGCATTACTTGCTCGAGTTATCGTTTCCTAGCCAGAATGTCGGCCACACAAGGAGTTTCGTCTCGGACACACTTAAATACTGCCTTTGTGAGCATCCTGACTCCTTGAGAGCACAAAGAACACCTGCGAAGTGATGTGCACAAAAGCGGTGAGGTGATCAGTGTCGAGTGAGCACTCTGGTGGCGCGAATCACAAATGGAGGCTATGATAACCCCAACGCACAACACAAAGCAAGGATTACAAACGATTGCACAACTGCTGCCACTCACCAAGCGAGAGGATCGTGACAAAGGGTGGCCGGTCGGAGACCAGCAACGAGTGCTCCCGGGCCTTGTTGACGCCACTCTCCTTGCCATACACGCCCTTGACTGGTCCAACCACAGCCTCGTAGCCATGCACCCGAAATGTGAACGCCCGGTGGGGATTCTGGTACCGCACACACTCCTGCCAAACACACCATATGTACAAGTTTCTCAGAGTAGTTGTGTACCAAGGTAAATCCTCAAAATGTTGTTAGATACCTTTCAAGATACCTTTTTACCTTTTTTTTATTGTCTGTAAACTGAAGTGGCTGGCAAAAAACAATATGGTATTGCGCTGCTCTTTTGTAAAGCAATAACGAAATTTCTGAAAGGTTACAAAAATAAAACAAAACAAAAAAACATGTGACTTGATACAGTATTTCCAACCACATTTTAAAGGATGTGGAGCTGGGTTGGTGTTCACAGAACTGGTTGCTCTCCACTCGGTCGGAAATGCGGAACGTTGAAAACTGTTCCGCAGCCCAAAAAAAACCAGAGCTGCTGTCTAAAATTGCACAAAATCAAAGTGAAAACCTGCATTATTCAACCACCATTTATAGTAACCATGTTTTCCCTGTTCTGTTACGGCTGCTAGATAAAAAAGAAAAAGGCGTGGCCTATTGCATGCAGCCGAAGTGACGTCTCAGGCATCACTGCTAGTCCTCAGAGAAGAAGTGTTTTTATATGCATTCGTATGGACAACTCAAATCGGGAAGTGAACAAAGTGTTTTGTAGCCCCAGTGTAGCCCCAGTGTAGCCTCAGTGTTTTGAAACTGAAATTGTTATTAGTAGGCTTGTGTGAATATTTGAATGCTTCAACTATTCGAACAAACATTACAGTATTCGAATCAGCTTGGATTCGAACTTAAATTATTGAAAATTTTAAATTACTCGAAATGAACGAATAGGTGTATATCATATTTACTAGTGTAATGAACCCACCTTCTCTTCAAAAAAGTTGATGCCAATTAGGGGGCAGGGTTCATTACGAGGGAGAAAAAAATTCTAGAGAGTTGTAACAGCAAACATTTCACATGACAGTATCAAAAAACTCGCTGTCCAACCAGTGCTGACCTTCCATTCAGTGGCAGGACAACATAGCCTCTATACGAGATCATCGCTCTCCAACAAGAAAAACTGTCCTGGTTGTGGCCCGCGAAATGCGCAAAGTATTTTTATGTAGCCTAAAAATGTACACGCGCTATCTGCCCTAGGCTCTTTCACCCTCCGTTTGCGTGCATCAGGTGTCCCGGCACGTGCAGCATGGCAATGCGGACAGTGCATGCTAAGGATATTGCGCACAAATCGACAAAAAAAGTGTCGTTCAGCCGCTCGGTTTCCATGCTTGATCAACTTCAAACAAGGCCACGTTGCTAGCGTACTGGCCGATTCTCCACAAAAATGCAGTATGGTATGGCGGCGTACGCACATTGCGGGTGCATGTCGCGCCTGTTGCGCTTAGCGTTTTGCTTTCTTTTCGTGCCACTGTGCTTGGGCGGTGCTATAAGCTGGAGGTTTCTTCGGAACTTGACAGGTAGCACTCTGCTGCAACTGTAAAGTGTTCAGGATGTGGGGTGGGGCTAAAATGAAGGCTCATGTAGATATGAATGCAGAGGAGGCTGACCTCAAGTGTAGACAATGTGAGGTCAAGGGAAAAAAAAAAAATATATGGTTGCCTAGAATGAACCGATTATGAGAATCGTTGAGCTGGAGACTGCGTTGGCAACAGAGCAAAAAAAAAACAAAGGCTATGGTAGAAAGACTTAGGTCAGCCGAGGAGACACTAGCGAAGGTGAACAAGATGAACAAAGGAGCAACCGATGGCGGGAACGGTAGGGCACCGGCACCCAGAACAGCGGAGAAAAACGGGGAAACAGGTTCAATCTTTTCAATGATCACAAGACCCAGCTTCCGCAAAGTAGTTGTGGGACTGGGAGGGGACAAAGCAGCTGATGGTGCCAGCACAAGTAACCTCCATGTGTGAGACACTCTAGCTGAAAAGTCACAACACATGATAATTGCAGGGGCTCGAATTTAAATCGACGTGCATAAGCAGTCAAAGAGAGGGTAAGAGGTGACAAGAGGGTTTCAGTAGAGACGTTCCTAAGACGTAAGCTAGAAGCAGTCATGAGGCAAGTGAGCCCAAAACACAACTAAAGCTGATGGACAAAACTTCGCGACAATTGGGGGCGGTTTAAACGATGTCTTAAATGAAGATTTGGAAAGACTAGGAACCTCACTGGCGAAAGGGGTCGATTACACGCACGCCATTTCCTCTCGGGTACAGGTAGTGGAATGCATGATACCGGAGGTACCGGTATGTGATGGCAACCTGCACAGAGCACTTGTTGACACAAACAAAAAGATATGGCAGATCAGTCGAGAGAAAGGCTTTGAGGTAGTGGAAATAAACAGAGATAGGTGGGGTGGTTTTCAACGAGACCGAATTCCCTTCAATAGGAGGCTAGGTCATGAGGTGGGTTGGCGACTTGTAGGATGCACAGTAGCTTTTTTGTGTGGCACGCAGGCCCTTCGGCGTCCACAAAAGCTAGTAACGAGGAAAACAACCAGAGAGACTTTTTGACAGGTGGTATAGTGAGAAACCAGAGAAAAAGTAAAAGAAAGGAGAAGGCACATGTAGCAATTAGTTACATTAACATGCACAATGGCAGTAAAAGGGCAAAATGGTTAGAAATTGAGGAGCAGTTAAACAAGGAACAGATAGGTGTTTATGTGGTTACAGAAACACATCTAAAAGCCGTAGAAGAGCCACCACAGATTCTGAATTATACTTGGGAAGAATGCAACAGGATCATATAAGAAAGGAAAGGTGGGGATGTTAGAATGTTAACCCATAGCAAAACCAATTGCTATAGAGTGAAGCAAACATGTTCAGTGCAGCTCTGGGTTTCAGACACACTAGGGGGAAAGAAAACTTGGATACTGGTGTAGCTTACTTGTGGTTGGGGAATAACTGTAAGAAAGAGAATTCGGAGGTAGTGAATCGCATACACATTGATATCAAATATTTTGGTCATGAGGCTGAAAGAATCCTTCTAGGAGACATGAATGCTCACATACAGGACCTTGACGAATATTGTGACACCCATGGCAGGTTATTGCAAGATCTCTGCGAGCAACATAGTCTTAAAATACAGTAGTTAACGTGGGGCCTAAGTGTGAGGGCAGATCAAGTGGGAAATTGGACACAGTCAATTGAGCATTGATTATTGTCTTATGACAGAGGGAATCTAAAACGAACTTAAAGAGATGAGAATAGACGAGGAAGGCACTAACGGCTTGGGTAATGATCATAAACGCATAACACTACAAATGGGATATAGAACTGAAAATTAGAACATTGAATCAAAGTTTGAAAGCTCTTATTTGAACGACATACAAAAATTAAATATAGCTGCAAGAGTCGAAGACGAAGTAGAAAAACTACTAGGCAAGGACTGGGAGTTATACACTCTGTGCAGGAACTATAAGGGTGCATTGAAAGGCGCGCGCGACGCCACTTGTGGTGTGGTGGGCGCGCAACTTTGAGAGTAGTAGCAGACAACAGCGCCTAATTACTTACGTAGCTATGGTGGCATAAACGCCCGTGGCCGGCGGGTTAGTGCGTGCTTTGAGCAAAATTCTCAATCCTCCGCGATGCCACCATGAACAAATGGGAAAACCTTCACGAAAGCGGCCACTTTTTTTTTTTTTTGCATTAGTGAGCACTTTGCTGCCCATCGCCAAGAATGACGGCTAAACGCATGTGTCAGGTGTGCATAATGCATGAGGGCAGCTGCGTAACTATTGCGGCAAGCTGTCATTCTTTCGAACTTAGATTATTATTGGTGCTTGCCTACTGCCCGCGTACTTGCAAAATACTTGGAGCGTTTATAAATATCGATGGCTCCACGGCTATTCGCTAAGGAAACTGGCGTGCTCGTTTGTTGCGGCGTCATGCCTAGGCGATTTTCAGCAACTGAGTCTCGCGAAGTGCTTTGTTTGAAATTCTCACGGCATTATCATCGCTCATCATAATCATAACCTTTACCTCACCGCTCGCGCAGCTACTGCTAAGGGCTTGAGGCGCGGGCGAGAAAGAGAACGCGAGAAGATTTGGTCGAGAGAGGACGGCGCATGCCGCGTTTCATCTTTCGTTAACCTTGTAGAGTGCTGACGACGATGGCACGGTCACTTTGGTCATCGTCACATGTCTCTCATTCACTATAACCTTTGGCGTTGTTTATGTTGCTTTCCGAAACAAACACTGACATGCACATCCGTCGCTACAGCATTCGCAAAACATCGTTTCTTACCATGTATAGTCCTGCTATACTCTACACCCTGCATCATTTCTTCATAACATACAGATTGTTTAACAGTAAAAAAAAAAAGGCTTTTGAATGAACCAAATCCGAAAGATGCGATTCAATTCATTACATCCGGCGGTTATTTCCTTTAGAGCTACAGCACTTAGTTTTAGACACAGGAGCGTTTGGGATGCCATATGCGATTTGCTACACAAGAAGAAACGAACTGAATTGTAAGGTTATGTAAGTAAAACTTATTCTTCAACGGCATTATGCTTTTTCTTGTGAATTAAGCTAATTACTTATTTAGAAAATTATCTATTGCTAAAGATTTTCAGAGTTTTAAACAAAATCATTTATATAACAAGGCATCACTCATTTCATGGCCGATGCCCCATGGTGCCTTGCACCAGTGTAATAAGGACCAACCAACCAACTGACGTACTAGCTTGATCATATAGAGTGCACATATGCTGCTAGGTGGCTACTTGTGTTTACGGTTAAATGCTATTTAAATCAGTTCGCCCCTTCACTGATGGACCTATCAACTCAGGAAAGCACTGATTGACCTCGTATTGTATTCATCAGACTGCAAACGGTACACAGCAAAGTAGTAATTATTAAAGCCCATTAAAACGTCCTATCAGCCTTGATCTGAAATAAAATTTCTTGCATGCGTTTCTTTTCTCACCTGCTCTATGGCAGCAAGAACATCACGCAAGATCATCGCACTTGCAGGGGTTGTCTCAGACCAATTCAAGCACGCATCGGCAGAATGCGAAACGGCAGAGGAAATGAGAACTAGCGAAACGACAGAGGAAATGAAGATTAAACACTTTTTACGTCCCACAGCCGTGATGCACTTATTTCGCTGCCCAATAAATCAGAAACAAGTAAAGAAACTCTGAAACTTCGTTCCCGCAGGACACGGCGTCTACTTGTTAGTATAATAGACTATGCAGCAGTTCATAATTCAGATAAACTACGTGCTAGCGAACGCTGGGGGAGTGTTTCGTTCTGCTCGGGCTCTCAACGTTTGTTTTCTCTGACGGCCGCGCGCCAGTCTCAGTGCATGGAGTCGATAGTGAGCAGTTATATTGTCACGAGGTCATGACGTGGATGAAGGCAGGTTGAATAATAAACTGTTTGTTTGTACTGAACTTAATGGCGACGTAAAACGAACGTCAGACTACAGCAAAACACTGCTACTCATAGCAGCGAGCAGAGGGTCAGCCGTCGATCTAGATGTGGAATGCGGCAATATGTAATAATACGGGATATGGAAAAAAAGAAGAAAACTATTCGCTGGAAAGGAAAGTGAAAGTCGAAAAGTTGGTGGAATAGTGAAATTCGAGAAGTGATCAAGAAGTGATGAGAGGCATCACAGGAGCACAGACAGGCAAAAAGGGAGAATCGGCCACAAGATGAAGTCAACCAAATATGGGAAATATATTTGAAGAAAAAAACTATTGTGCAGAAATTAGCCAAGGCAAAAATTAATGGTGAAAATGAACGCTGGATGAGAGAAATTCGCGAAAAAAAAAAAAGGCCACGCCTAGGATGAAGGGGATCCTGGCAGGCCCACCACTTTATTTGTCACGAATTTATCTCGGGAGTGTTTGTGAACTATGTATTTGAGAGAGAGACGAGAGTCGGCGGCAACACGGCAAACCCATTTTAATATTACACAAAATCGCAAACAATCTGACACTCAGAACCGACTCCTAAAAAGAGACATGCACACAATAATCGGCTATACAAACAAAACCGAAAATAATATCTAAGTAGCCACTAGATACCATCTCTATTCGAGATGGTGCCTAGTGGTTACTCTCGTGCACTCCCGCAATAGTAGACCATTCTTACTGTTGCAATGCCACTTCCCATGATGATGATGTTTGATGTTTTATGGCGCAAGGGCCGTTTCACGGCCAAAGAGCGCCAGTTCATCTTGCTAAAAAAAAATGGACAATGATTGTGATAAGCGGCTGTATAAGGGCCATAAAATTCCTCGCGGTAAGGCGGGTAAAAACATACAAGTAATAAAATCATGACCATGCCGTGAAAGGTGTGTGTGGTGTGAATAGATGACAAAAGTTGGTGATAATAAAAGACGATGGTGGATATGTATGGCATTAGCACAAGTGCCTCACTCGTTCATACCCTTGCGCCCAAGGGCCGTGAGGCAAGTGCTTTCTTGTGTAACCACCGCAGCAAAAACCTCTCTGGAGAGGTCATGCTATGGGATGCCTGGGTATATGATATGGAAACTATGAATTTCTTTAAAAAACGCTAACAATGATTTGTGATTAAAAAGCGGTTCCCTACCGACGAACATTGCAGGGTGTAAAGGTATATGTTTATGTTAATGCCACTTCCCAAACTACGACGAAGTGGTACTATCGTTGAAGTTGTCCTGGACAATGTCGCTGAATGAATCACTCAACCACATTGCTCGTTGATTCCAGTCTTCGTCGTATCCTTCGGCTCGGTTAGGCTGCGCCTAACTCGTCAACGGCGTATTGACTGTGCTGCAGGCTGCGTTTGTTCTGGATCGAAGGGGAAGAGCTGTGGTCCACCCAAGAAATGCTGCGACAGATTGCGGCAAGTCGGGGCAGCCTCACTTGATTCTTCCGATATCGACAGCCACTCACTCCCCGAACCTCTTCGCCGGCAGCCTCAAAATCGGGCAGTTCTACAGCTTTCGTCGCGGTAGCGACGTTGGTTTCCCACGTTTTCGCAGCTCGCCGTACAAACACCCAGTGCCAGGTCATCTTCTGGCATTTTTCTTCTTGGCTCAGGTCGCGTGCCCTTCTTTGACCACTTTCCTGCGTCTACGAGGTTGGTGCGCACGTCCTCGGGAGACTTTTCTCGTCGCACACCGCTGCTGCGCTTCCACGCTTGGTACGCGCCTCGTGCTTCTCCTTTAGTCATCAAATTGATTCAATTTGGACTGAAATTCTTATTATTCGAACTATATAAACTTGCCAAAGACAAATCCAGTCAAAAATCAAATAAAAATGACCCCTTCAATTTTTTTTTGCTTTGCCTCGTCACACTCCCTACTATGCAAAGCTGCCTTCCAGGCTCTAATACAGACTGAAATGTATTGGCTCAAAAACATGCTGATTCCAACATGCAGATTGTAGAAGTAGCTGAGGTGAGAGCTAAATTATTGCTGCTTAAGACGTGAAATTCGGGCAGGAGTTACAGGTCCAAAACACTTTGATCATGCTCGAGCTATTGATGATATGTTAAATTGTAGCTGATCTCTTTGTAGTAAATGCAACGCTTTGATACTTTCACTCGTTACACAATGCCCATGGCCTGGCAACACCTTGTTGCTATTTTACTCTTCTTAAATATTTACAGCTGAATGAAGTTTCAAGAACTCGCACATAGCTCTGTGATAGAATACTCGACTGCCGCACGCATCTTCAAGTCCCCCTTTAACTTTTTTCTTCTTCTCAAAGCGTGTGCTGTGAACCAGGCAGCGGCAGCAGGGGGCAACAACTACACCACTAAAATCAGCTGCTGCCATGAGCTCATAACATCTTCCACTGTAATGAGACAAATGGGTAAAAAGGACACAACAGGGAAAGAGGTATTGATAAGAAAACCCATACATGGTACGCTGTTTATAAGAGACACCTCATATACTCTCTGTGAAGGGAAATCTCTCAAACAGAATTGCTGCATAACTGCTTCTGAAAAGATTGGTTTCGTACTTGTATTCTGCACCCTTGTTCATCTCTTAATAAAAGTGCGAATGACAACACCCAAAAGAAACGACTCGTTCCTTCATTTTCTTTTTTGAAATGCAATACTGGATGCCTAAGAATCGTGCCATGTAAATTTGACACAGTAAATGACAATATGGGCATGACAGGAACATTGTAACATGAGCAGAATTTCAAGCCCCAGAGCATGGACCAGTTTTATTTGGACATCAAATAATTCATATTGTTTCACAATCCTCGTGAACTCAGTACTAACGGTCGACAGCCAAATATGTAGCAAAGTTGTCAGTCTCGGCGGTTGTAAAGACTGGTCTTCAGTCGACGCTTGAGGATAGAGCGAGGGTGCTCACCTGTGTGCGATAGTGCGAGCGCTCGTGGTCAGTGGTTGGTCGCACAGTCCAGTCCGTGGTGGACTTGGGTGGTGGTGGCGAGCCCTGGGAGGCCTCGAGGGCATCCATGGGCTCACGCTCCTGTAGCCAGTGCTGGCAGAGGGCGTGCGTTTGCATGTCCGAGTCTCGGCCAGCACCTATCCACTGCCACTGCTGCTGCTTCTCCTTGTAGTCCAGGTACGGCACAAAGTCCTCAGGCAGCAGTCCTAGAGCCAAGCGACGTTTCAGTGGATGCTGATATCTAGAAGGAAGTGCTCGTTACACGCACCAGATGTCATGCAAGCAATTTACTACTCCTGAAAGTCCCTCCCACGACAAGACAGCCTCTGGACAGCCCAAAGTTTTAATTTATAAGCTGGAGATGGCTGTGTGGCTCTCTCGCATCCAACAAGGCCGAGATAAGGATATACAAATCAGAGTTCTTTTTGGTTATGATCGTGGCTACCTAGAGATATTCGTGTTTTCCAATAAATGTTCTGTACGCACTAGTCGTGTAGCTTTTTTTCTCTTGTCCCACATTATTTGACGCTATTTTTGTTCATGCTGAAATCTAGACTTGCTGAGCAAGCTGAAGGCAGACAAAATTTTGCGTTCCATTCCCCCCCCCCCCCCCCCCCTTTTTTTCTGCTAGCACAGCAACTCTATATTTCAGTATGAACCAACTAGTCTAAAGAAAAGTAGTATTGCTGCAACAATCATGCCCTTAATCATTTCCACCAAATGTAACCTCCCCCCAGAATAGTATTTATTACTGCAGATTTAAAATAACATGTGTGTTTTGTCACAAGAAAAGTTACTAAAAAATTTTTTAGAGTGGCTGTAAAACAACAAAAAATTTATTCATACACAGCAATGGTTTTTTTGAGGATACAAATCCCCATGCAAGCATTACGTACAAATGGTTAATTATCAAAAACTGAAGCGGCCTCGGTCGTCAGCAATGGGTTCAACCGGACGTTGCTCTGAAGCTTTTCACAATTTTTCGTAACATGTTTGTGCTCCTTGATGAGGTTAGACACACGTTTCGCTTTGGTTTACCACTCTTCATTTCATATTCCGCACATTGTGCCTCGTATGATCATGATTATGGAAGAGTATAATGAGCAATTAAATGCTTTTCACAATGCGTTAATCGCAGCGGTTGTTCTCTAACCAGAGGCGATCACAGATGTCGCAGCCTAATCCTAAGTGCCGCTAGAAAAATCCCTATCGAAAGCGAGCGAACGGGCTCCCACAATCATCACATTGACCCTGCAACTTGATAAGACAGATGCTAGGGGTAGTTGGTGATTGGGAATCAACATATTTGCACAGCGCAAGACTACGAGTAGTTACCACGTAACTACAGAAGAAGAGACAAGGACAGAAGGAGCGCTGACTTCAACTGAAATTTTATTAGCGAAAACGCTGAATATATACTCGTGACACAACATCACCGCCCAATCTATTGCATCACATGAAGACAATCATCTCATTATATGGTTACAACGCCACAGCTCAGCACAAAATTCACAAACTATTGTGTCAAAGCCAGAAACTCGATTTATTTTTTAGTCAGACCAAGCAAAGCATGCTGATGCACTGATAACCAGCATTTGTATTTGATTGGCCTCCATAATCTCTCGTGTTAGCTGCTGACAGTGTTTGGTTATAACAGTGCACTTTTCGAATTCCGGTTTGCAACCACAATCTCTACAATGCCTTCGCTTGCTCTGACTAAAATATAAATCGAGTTTCTGGCTTTGACACAATATGTAGATCATGAATTTGTGCTGAGGTGTGGTGTTGTAACCAAATAATGAGATGATGATTGTCTTGCTGTGATGCAATAGGTTGCGCGATTGCGTGGTGATGTTCTGTCACGAGTATATTTTCAGCGTTTTCGCTGATGAAATTTCAGTTAAGTCAGCGGTCTTTCTGTTCTTGTCTTTTCTTCAGTAGTTACGTCGTAACTACTCGTAGTCTTGCGCTGTGCAAATATGTTGAGACCCTGCAACGCTGCGTTGTTGCAAGTGTTTGACATCATGAACTAACTTAGCAGCGTTTGACATTGCAGGCTAACTTACAACCCAGCGAACGGCACGAGTGTTTGGGTGTGACGCTGCGAAAGACATAACTAATAACGGAGCTAATGGAGACCACTCATGATACTGCTGCTGAATGGTTTTTCGTTTATCCGAGCCATATGCAGCTTTCCCTGTAATAAAAATAAAGATGAGAAAGAAGCTTCTATTATTAACACAAGGCTCATTAGAATAAACTTGCCTAACAGACTTAAAAAAAAAATTTACCGCTGAGATGAGTGGTGCTGGACTGCCAACCAGAAAGTCCCGCAATAGAGTCCGAATCGCAGCTGCCATATTTCAATGGAGGTAAAATTCTGGAGGTGCTTAAGGTTCAGATGCACCCTGAAGAAACCCAGATGGTCAAAATTTCCAAAGCCAACCACAAAAGCATCTCCCATATTGTGCTTACAAGACGTGAAATTTTACGAATTATTATCATATCTAATGACTTAAAAAAATGTGCAGACCAGTTTGCTGTTTCTTTTCATAGTTAACAACAGTGCAAAACAGGCGTGCTCGCATATCCAAAACAGGCATGCTCGCGTATCGCATCATTTACACGCCTGCCCAATCGCCTAATAGTACATTCTTTGCCACAGGTCACGGGAATACTGTAGAAAATGCATGTGTCGCATTTAGTGAATGTATTGACATGCCCAGCATCACGCCTGGACCTACTCGCCCCATGCCACGGAGCACGCTAACATATGCTAGCCAAAATGCAGGGCCCAGCAAAAACTGGCTTAACAATGTTTGTCGCTGTCAGCTTTTTAAGGTTGTGCAAAATGCCATTTAAGTACAGCCCCTTGCTTCCTCTCTTTACACTTCATACACTGTCTGGAAAGCCGTTTCTTTTCTAAAAAGCAGTGATGCCACCGAGGTCTTCTGATTTGAAGCAATTTTCAGAGCAATGAAATTTTCATTTCAGAGCACTTTGGAGGGCAAAATTTCCCATTATGAGCACTTTGGAGCAGGAACATTTTCCATTTTTGAGCACTTTAGGGCAGCAAAATTTTTCATTTCGGAGCAATCTGGAGAAGCTAACCTGACATCCTGAAGGAGGAGCAAGTTGCATTTACATTCGAGGGGATGAATAATTATTTTTGGGCTGTTGTCTCCTGTGAAGAGCTAGAAATATTTCCATTAATTTCAAATCTCATGAAATCAGCAATCGTAGAAGCACTCCCTATTTTAGTTGATGATGCAAAAATAATGGCATCATTATGTTGGCAATGCTGAAAAAACTTGTTCAGTGAATATTTTTGTAGCAAATAAACAAAATACTTAGTGGATGAATAAAATTGTACTTCATTAAATACTATTCTACACACCAATGTGGTTATCAGTATATATGGTAGACAAGCGCTGTGACTTGCAACACTATAGACACACACAGTCGCAACTGCATTTCCCTTAGACGACTCCAAGGTTATAGAAAGGTGCTTTTTCTTCGCAACCGATTATACTGCTAGGCTTAACATGACGTCATTTAGCTAGTTTCACAAAACCAACTTCCTTTGGCGCTCATCTCTCCGTGTTAAAACTACACGATTTAACAAACTTTGTTTTCCATTTGTAGTGATCTATTATGTGGCTAGGGCATTCTGTCTATACTCCAAAATCCTCCTGTCATGTTCTAGAAAGCAGTGCATAACGAAAAAAGAACCACAGAGAAAAAAGAACCTTACATGGTACCTTATGCATATGCCTAAGATGACTAGAAGGCGAGAGCTATTTTCTTTTTACTGTGATAGTAATTACAAGGACATTCTCGACTAGTCTTTACCATCACCAGGAGTGAGGTAATATTTTTATTTTAAGAAGGAGAGTGCACAAGGGGGGGGGGGGGGGGGGGGGGGCATGCAAATGGTAATATTGAGCTATATATGCGCCATGGAAAGAAAAATTCCGGGGGGGGGGGAGGCACGTTCCTGATGTATTAAAAGCTGCGCGTATTAAAACAGAATTCTGGCTGCTCAAACCAGGAAGCATACAAAAATTTTGAATACAGACCCTAGCAATCTCGAGTTCGAAATGGCAGGGTGTTTTAGGAGCTTTTACCACAACAGCGATTGCAAACGCGGATGTGCTTGGTAAAAGGAATTACGACAATGAACTTCCGTATCAAGATTCATGAAAAAGTACCTATATTAAAGGAAAAGTGCAGACGTGCTTCCACCATGCACGTATTATTCTGTGTACGCAAAGCACAGAAAATTAGACTGCACATGATGTCCAGAAGTAGACATGACACACAATCTGGTGGCGCGTCTGCGTGTAGTTGTTAGTGAAAATTGCTTTAATTACAAGCTGCACAACTGTTCAAATGAGCAATCAGCAGCGTTTCTGGAACGGACGACGCCCACCGATGCATCGGTGCCACAATTTCACGATACAAATTGGAATAGACGTCCCGAGCCCCTGCGGAGAATGTGTTTGTTGAGGCGCCGGCGTGGCTATTGCCGGTGATAGACGCTCTCAAATCAGACTTTGGTGCAGTTTGGCGCAACTTTCGTTGATATTATCAGAATGGCACAATAAATCTGATTTGGCGCACTTTGGCGCAAGAGTGGGATCACTGCTATGAAGGCAATGAATATGCGATGGTTCACAATCGCTCACTTTACAAGCTTCCTCCAGTGGGCATACTCATATGAGAGGAGTGTCATTCTAGCCCTAGGGCTAGTGCACAGGACTTTTCTCACTTTTCTCAAGTGTCCACTCTGTTGCCGTCTCATCCCCAATATGCAAAATTACTAGCATATAAATTTTTCCTCACACTGAAATTGGAATGTGCACCTGCTGTATGGAGTTCAAATGAAGCATACTTTAACTCTTGAGTGTCAAGTTTTTCTACAAAATGAGTCTCAAAAATGTGTGCTTATTTTATTGCTGAATCTGAACCTAGCAAAGTAAAAATTGTGCAAATGTTTTTTTGAGCGACCAAGTGACCGTAAAGGAAAAAAAAATCGTTTGTGTTGTTACATTTGGATGATTTTTTTCGTAACATCAACATAATTTATAAAAAAAGATTCAAGAGATCCCACATACCTTCGGAAACAGTGTTATGCGAAGCATGTGCATGAAAGCCGACTGTGTTGTAAATAGTGAAATGTTACAAATTGGCGCTGAATATATGC